GAATACAGTTGTAGAGGAGACATTGTTTTTGGTTCAAAAGTTTGTCTTAAAAATCACAGTAGTCATTTTTCTAAAAATTCAAGTGGGTGACTTCCACAGTGGCCAGCACGTTTTTGAAGGGCCTTTTCCATGCCTAGTTGAGAAAGCGGATCCTCCCTCGAAGAGATGGTCAAATCCGCAACTTCGATGGTTGCACACGCCCTTTTGGCGACGAAATTGTGACTTACGTTAGCAGACGTGATAGGCTCATGACAGGGATTTGTGCCCGCTCTGATCTCATCAGATCGGAACCCTCCTTCCGATTGATAGCGCCATGACAAGAGCGGTTACAGATAATTGCTTCATATGCTTTACAATCATGTTAAACTATGGACAAATCATTTTATTTTAGTTGCGGGTCGAATTCAAAAATACAAGTTTTTGGTACAGTTGTATTATTACTATTAGTAGTTCTTGATATTGCTGCAATTACTCAGCTCAGTTCGAACTTCTAGGATCCTGCTAGCTCCGAGACAGTGTCGTACTTCGGCGACTACCGCGAGCGTACGAATTCAGTGGATGGAGCGATCAAACGCCAAAGAAAATCGGTAAATTATCGCGTTTGCACTGCTTTTTAAGGTTTCTGAGGATCATGATGAGTGCATCGGAACATTACCATCAAAAGAACTGTGAAATGTCGATAGTGCGATGAAATCAAGAAGACAACTTGTTGAAAGCAAGTATATTCATCAGCAACTTGTCATCAAGATCGACCAAAGATCTGATGTTTGGAGCAGGCATACTTTCCAGTGCGCCAATGAACCTCTCCCCACAAGCATGTCTACATATTGGAGGTATTACAAAAAGGTGTCCAATGATAATGGGAATCCTCCACAGAAAAAACCATGATTCCACTTCGCGTGTAATCCGTTGGCTTAAGACTTACATATGGTTCACGATAAGAACGAAAAGAACGAAAAATTGCATTTGTTTTGGTAAAAAATTCGAAAAACCGGAAGGACTGCTACGCGTTCAAATTCCCGCCGGACATCTGTCACAAATGCTGGCGACGGGAATGCTTCCACTTGGTTCTCGGAGTGCCGTCACTAGAAACTCTTTTGGCCTTTTGACTTATTGCATTCACATCTCACACTTCTACTGCATCCTATTCTATCGATCGATTTGTCTCTACTCTCCAAAATCGCACGCTTTAACCCGATTCTTTCATTGCGTCGCCTGATACGTAGCCTCCCAAGGCGCATTGCCCTCTTCTCTCCGCACGACTTCCCTTCGACTGTCCATATACTAGGATGGTTTTCGTAATAACGTTATCGATGAAATGGGCTTTTGGATTTGGGGTCTGCAAAAGCGGCTTTTGCCACTAGCATGATTTTCGAGGGCTGATGTTTTAATAGAAGAGAGAAATTCTGAAGGTGAAAGCGATCTCATCACAGAGCGTTCGAGCAGCCATATATGATGCTCTGAATTTCCCTGTACTATCAAATTAGTTATTCCTCCGGTTTTCGATGCGAATGGGATCACAAGGATGTTTCTTTATGGCCTAAACCAGGTTTGCTCCGCCCGCTATCGCGCGCATCACAGGGTAGGGAGGAACCACGGAATAGCAGCATGACGTACTCCATTAACCACCTCACTATTGAATGTGTTATACCTCCTTATACCCCTTCTCTCCGGCGCATGGCAGCACCATGTTCTCCCTCCCTTCTCCTCTCCCCCACTTCCCTCCTCTCTCTCCCCCCTACCCTCCTTCACCCCTTCCCTCCGGCGCATGGCAACACCGTCTTCCCCCTCCCTCTCCGCTCCCCTCACTTCCCTCCTT